GGGGTTGTAGGGGGGGAGGAGAGGGTTATGAGGAGGCGGGAGTGTTGTTTTAGGTTTTGCTTTGGACTTTCCCTCCGTAAGTCCCTGGTGGCTTGTTCACCTCCCACACAGCCAAGGGACTAAGAGGTGTGCTTTGGCAGGGACTCATGGCGGATGGAGGACTATCTGCACTTCATGCTGGTGTTCTCATCCCACATCTTCATGGGCATTTTGCCCAAGCTGGAAGAGAGGATGTGGGCCCACCTGGACGCCGCTGTAATGCATTACTTCACTCCGTGTCAGTATCGCAGCCACAAGGCGTTTGTGGAGGCAGCAGCAAAGGCTCGGCAGCACCTGCTTGAATTTGCCACTGTGGCTGAGGAGGATGAATTTCCGCTGGGAACTTTCGGTCTGTGTCCTTGGAAAGTTGTCCATCAGCGCTGCTGGTACATCCTTGACTTGGGTGGGAAGAGTAGAATATTGCAGTGGCTGTGGTTACGACCGAGTGGCCTCATTACGACCGACTCGGCTGTCAACCCCGGACCCCACAGAGCGAGGAGTCGCTTGGAACCCCAAGTCCTTCCTCCTGCCATGCACATCATCCGATGGCCACGGCTCACCAGCTTCCTCCATACACTGCCATGGCGACCAACACGGCTGGCACCATCGGTGGCGTCGGCGGTGTTCCGCATCCTCACGTGTACGACCTGGATAGCCGCGACATCGCCGGAATCTCCCTCATGGTGGCACAGGTAAAAATAGCCCTGGGGGCAAGACCGCGTTGGCTTCTGTGCCGTAAGGGCGATTTGTTGCCCCACGGCGAAAGTACCGTGTATGCAATTGTCCTCATATTGCAAGTGAGGCGCACGCTGGAATCTAAGTCAGGTGCTCAATTGTCTTGTTCAAGTATTTAGTTCTTGAATATCGCCTCTCTCTCTCCCTCTCTCTCCCTCTCTCTCTCCCTCTCTCTCCCCCTCTCTCCCTCTCTCTCTCCCTCTCTCTCTCCCTCTCTCTCCCTCTCTCTCTCTCTCTCTCTCTCTCTCTCTCTCTCTCTCTCTCTCTCTCTCTCTCTCTCTCTCTCTCTCTC